TTAGGGTTTAGGGTTTAGGTTACACTGCCTTCCCCCAATTAGGGAGAGGTTCAGGGCTGAGGATTTAAGGAAGCCCTGAAAGCCCAATGTCACTCAATCACCATCTGCCTCAAGTTACAGTACGGGTTGCTCTCACCGGCTCCTTTCACGAAAATTCTCGTAAATCACGACACTTACAACGCAAGGTAGAAACTGAGCCTTGACAATGTGGGCAGAAATAGTTCTTGAACTAATCATCGCGGTAGAGGCAACTATGGTAATCGCAGTCGCATCTAACGCAATCCTGCAAGCCCTATATTACACCCTGAACCCTAAAAACCCGAAACTCTCAAGAACACTAAACCCTAAAACCCTAAANNAACCCTAAACCCTGAACTCCGAAAGCTCCAAAAAACCTTAAATCCAAACAAAACAAGAACATAAAGTACTATTCAAATCATGAGCTAACAAAGGGCATGACTTAGTATGTCTGATCATAGGTTACCTTATCTCGTCTTCTCTTGTGTTATCTTATCTTATTTTGCATTAAACTGTCTCTAAACAGATTGAGCCAGGGCACCGCCTTGGATTGCAGCTCTGGAAAGGTGAGGAGCCTGTCGGAAAGGCCGAAAATCGAAGCGGTGAGGTGCTTGGCTTCAAGGCGTCACGGCTCTTGGGGTTCGATCCAGGGGTTCAGGGTTTGAGGACTCAGGGCTTTAGGGCATGAGGATTCTAGGGCTTTAGGGCTTTGCGCGCAGTGCTGAATGGCTGAAGGCGATGAGGATTTCAGGCTTGAGGGCTCTTTCAGGGTTTCATAGAAGGTGTTATGAGAGTTCTACAAGGCTTGTGCAAGGATTTATGGTTTAGAGCTGCAGCTGTAATCCTGAACCCGAGATCCTAAACTCAAACGACGGAGCCTCCGCTACCCCCTTCCTCCCATCCGCCTTGAACCCTAAACCCCTTGAAGAGAAGCCTCTTATAGGAACCCTTGTAGAACTCTCATAGATCTCCTAAAGCGGCCCGGTGAGGCACCCCTAAACCCTAACTCTTGATCCTCAACCCTAAGCCGGAACTCTTATAGTCTCCTAATTAGGGTTTAGGGTTTA